AAAATTGCATGAACTTACACCACAACGGAAGGAAAATAGACTCAAAAGAGCTAAAGAGTTGCTACGCTTGGCCGAAAGTGGTGAACTGCCGAATTTGGTTTTCTCCGATGAGAAAACATTCGTTGTCCAGCAGTTTGTAAACAACAAAATTATCGTGTTTACTTGCCAAAGAGTTTAGATGAAAATATGCACCTTCGATTGACCACCAGAACTCAAGCGCCAGCCGCTGGTCGCTCTCTGCTCGTATTTATCGACCGTGGCATCAGAATAAATGCCGAATATTATCGCGAAAATGTTGTAGAGAGTGTATTAAAGCCTTGGGCACCCAAATATTTTGGCCGCAGACCTTGGACATTCCAACATGACTCAGCACCATCGCACTCAACACGCACCACTCAAGAATGGTTGCAAAATGAGGTTCCTCGCTTCATTTCCAGCGCACAATGGCCAACAAAATCTCCGAATATCAATCCGTTGGACTATTATGTCTGGAGCATTTTGGAAAGCAAGGTTGGCACTAGAGAATACCAAAGTGGCGATCACCTCAAGAAAGCGCTTCGCCGGGAACGGCCAAAATACCGCAGAGCATCAATCGGGTAGCGAGTGACGGTTTCATTGGCCGTTTGAAGGTCATAATTCATACCTTTGGCACCAATTCGTAAAAATCTATACTTATTCTTAAATTTCTATTTCCGACATTTTTTGCTTTCATTCAATAAAATTTAAAAATTATAACGTTTGACTTTGTTGCAGTTTTGTTTATCTCACCCTGTATAGTTCTCTATGGACGAAATCTACTAAATTTGGAACAGCTTGGTTAAATGTGAACGGATGAAGCTGAAATTGTGATAATTTGTGTTGAAATCCCAGCTCGTAGTAGGTTTGTGGTACAATGTGTACTACAAGTGCACGGAAGGTACTAAATAGTACTGTAAATGGTAAAGTTTGGTATTGGGTGAACAGGCAGTGCTCGAAATCTCATATTCGGTGTGCTCCTGTGCTATCTGAACATATAAACGTGCTTTTGTAAATTTGGTACTGTTGGTGTCTGTACTCGTATTTGAAATTTGGCGAAATATATTAAATAGTACTAAACTTGGTATGGGGTGAAGGAGTACAATAGCGAATCGTGGCGACCATTTGAAAGAAAAAGAAAATAACTTAACTGCCTCACAGATATTCTTTTGGGAGACATTCACATAAATCGATTTTTTAATGTTAAACTTCAATAATTTATTTATGTGACTTAGAGCGTGCGAAAACGATTCGCTAACAACTAAAATACAAGTCTATTTGCCATTATTTGCACAAACTCTTTGCCAACTTTCGCGGAGGAAAAAAAGGGTTCTTTCCCACATTCTTATCTTTGGGGGTTCATTCATTAATCTGTAAAATCCGTTTTTGCTATGATTTAAAAGTCAAACATGGCCAAATGTAAAATGAAGTCATAAACATTTTACATATCGAACAGACATCCACACCTCGTACATGTGTTGCGAAAATTGATAAATTGACAAACATTAAAATGTCGACGACAGTTGTACAAAAGAATCCATTACGAGTAACCTCAGCTCACGTTGAGGCGGAGAGACAAGGCAGTCGTGCATGGGCATTGAGTCCGTGTTAAACCACTAAAAGCCACGTGACTTGACAAACTTTTTTTTTCCTCCCAAATGGACAGATATCAATTTTAAGGATTATTTTTTTTTTTTGTGCACACACACACACATAATTTCTACTCTCCACTGTGGGAATCCAAGAATCTAAAACCGTAGAAAGTTTAAAAATCACTTGTTCAGGCCTCGCCGTCGTCATTGTCTAATCGCACAACGGAAAATAGTAACAATTGAAATAACCACATCGAGAAAGACACACGCCTTGCGAATAGTGGGCACAGTTCGAAGAATGTGTCAAGTCACGTGGCCCTTCACAATTGGAAAACACGAAGATTGATGCAAAATTCGGACAATGGTTTCGAAATTGTATTTAAAAAAATAAAACTTGCCTGAACTTTGACACACGCCTCGTATAAATGTTTTCATTCACCCGTTCCACTTCACTGCTAATGATGGGTAGCAGTGATAGACTTTATGAAAGTGTCATCACAGAGCGTATCGAATATTTTTAAAGCCCAAAAATGTCAGGGAATTGTCTGCTTGTCACACACTTTGCAGACCGTGTCAGTCGAAGTGCTCAGGGGTGACAAGTGCTCTTGGGTGACAATATTGTCCTTAATTGTGGCAAACAATTAATTTCAAAATGAAAACGCTGCACAAATGTGTGTTATTGCCATCATTAATGTTAACACAAATCGAATTAATGATATTTTTTAAAGAAAAAAAAAATCGACATTTTTGGTGAAAAATTTTAAAGAAGGTTATTCTTTATGAAGTTTTTACAATAATTGAAAATATTTATTATCAGAACTGAATATTGTTTTTACAAACTAATTTCCAAAATGAATAAAAAAGGCAATTTATTAGCAAAGATGACCGTGCCATTCCAAATCACAATGCCAAAAATACCAGATTTAATGTACGAAACGCTGAGTTTTGTTAACTATTAAAACAAGATATCCGTCTTTCAGAAGAGGAAAGCAAATTAATTATATTAATCAGTCCAAACAGTTTTTGATACAATGACTCACACGTGGAGATATCTAATTATTATAAAACAAGTTAAAACGTATCAGTCAGATTAGCCGACAGATGTATACCCTCAGCCAATTTTCGATTATTTAAATATATTTTGACATCTATTATGATTATTCAAATTGTTGACCCTCTATGGAGTAGGCTCCGGCGGAATGGACCAATATCGGCCATTTCGTATCGAATCTCAATAAATATGATAAAAATGTTGCGACGTGCCAGTTTTGTACTATATCGAATACATCCTTCACTTTATATGAGATATGGGATACTTTTTAGAAAATGTTAAAATGTGCATGAGGTACAAGATATAGTCGACCGAAGTATTCCATTTTCATACTTTCTTTAATACAGATAATAATATTGGTATGGCCAAAATTATAGGAAATTCTATCCAATTTTATATTAAAACATAAATTCCATATTCATCTCAGGATTCTATATTTAGATATAGCAAGCTGTAAAGAATTACTGACTTGTTCGCAAGTTATGAGAGATAAACTTATTGAAAATTGGGACCATTTGTGGGGAGGTACCAGAAGGGATTCGCAGATATATATCATCTTCACAACAGATTTTGTATTAGCTAAAATGTTTGTGTGTGTGTCTGAAATTTTAAGAGAGTTGGATACTTATTTTGCCTTCTTTGAGCGTTGAGTTTTTCAAAATCTTGAAGCCTATGTGGGGGAGATAACAGAAGAAATGGTCTGATCTCTACCATCTTTATAGCACATCTTGTGTTGATGAAAATATAGAGATGTGCCATGGAAACGGATGTTAATTTCGCGTTTTATGAGCTTCATGAATATTCAAAATGTTGACTCTTTCTGGGGGAGGTACTAGAAGGAGCGGACCGATATATCCCATAATGGTTTATGTGACATATGAAGGGAACCGTATGCTTATTTCGGATTTTAAAATCGTCTTGGATACTTAAAATTTTGACCGGGAGATGTACAATTAGGAATGATCTGATCTTTATAAAAGATCTTGTGTTGATAAAAATATTGAGATGTGTCAAGTCTGAATTGAATTGGATGATAATTTCGCTTTTGATGAGCTTCATGGATAAAAAAATGTTTACCCTTCGTGGGGGAGGTACCAGAAGGAGTGGACCGATATATTTCATCTTCACACCAGACCTTGGTTTAATATAAATATAGTGGTGTTTGTAATTTGAGGGCAATCGGAATCTTACAACACATTTTTTAAGAGTTATAATTATTAAAAATGTTGACCCTTTTAGGGGGAGGTACTTGATGGAGTGGATCGATATTGTCCATTTCTACAGTTACTCTAGCACTGATGCAAATATTATGATTTGCGAATTTCGGGCAAAATCGGATTATCCTTTAAATTTCTGTGCAGAAAAGTATTTTTTTGAAAATTGTAAACTGATATGGGGGAGGTAGCAGAAGGAGTAAACCGATCTTATCCAACTACGAACTCGAACTAATTTCGATAATAATGTTACGATGTACCAAGTTTGGACCAAATCGGATACTCTCTTCGAGAGCCAGACAGACGGATGGACGGACATCGCTAGATCGACTCCAAATGTCCTGAATCGGATTTGGTCCAAAGAGACCTGGACTAAACTAAAACTGATGGGGGGACGTTTTGGCTGTATCACATGATATATACCCTCTCTAGTCATATGGCTGAGGGTATAAAAATAATATCTACCAATCATACTTAATATTGAAGTAAATAGTAATCGGTGGAGGTTTGATTGATTTGATTGGGCCAAAAACTATGTAACACCTAGAAATATTGGTCCTGCACATAGGAATGTGGATCTATCTCGCCTAGCTGAATCTATCGTCCTATGTATATCCGCCCATGTTAATTTTTAATCACGCTACAGGTCGCAATTATGGCCCGATCGCTACGAAATTTTGCATGGAGGTGGGGATAGGTTCAGAATAGAAACCTGTTGTTTTTGGCCTTTTGCCATGAAGGATTAAATCTAAGAAACTATGCCCATTAAAAAATTAATATTTTTTTGTCATATTTTTATCGCATGAGATTTTTTCAATTTCTCTTACAATATTGAATTGTACATTTTGCAATATATTTTTCACCTTACAACACTTTTTTGGGGGGTATTATATTCAAAACTTCCTGAATTTCCTGCTCTACAGGTCATAATTAAACACCAATCGACATGGAATTTTGCATGAAGTTAAGGACATGCCAGAAGTCTAGAATTTTAAAAGACCATTGGATCACGCTTCCAACATATAGTGTTGTATGGTATCACATGTTCGTTCCGCACGTCTTTGCTTACTTCTTCTTTTTTTTAGTATTGGATAGACATAGTCCTTTTTAATAATTTATTATCCATTTAATAACCAAATATTCCAAAAATATTATTTATAGAAATTTATATTAAATACTTCATCTTTTACAAGTTCCGGTACATTCTTCCAGGGTATCGAAACGATTTGCATTTCCACCACATCCTCCATAAATAAATTGTACACACTCATCAGTCTCGACATTGTAGGAATAACATGGGAAATAGGCCAAGCAAGCTGTTCCATTAAAACCATCAGCAGAATGTTCCAATTGACATATATCTGTGGAGGATAATTTATAATAATAATTTATTTTACATCGTACGAATGATTGCGTCTTACCAATGTTAGCGGCCGAGGAGATATAAATCAGACCAGCAGCAGCAATCAAGAAAAATACAAAGATCTTCATCATTTTCAGAATTGAGGTTTAATGCTTTATGCTAAAGAATACTTCTAAGAGTGTCTGGATTTCTAAAGATTTCAATGGGTTTTTATATAAAATTCGCTTTATTAACTTACATATTTGAAATAAATCAAATTGTATTTACCCTGGCCACATTTCGAAAAGTTCTTCGCAAATAATAATAAACGACTTATACAATAGACGGCGTTTTTTAGATATACCTTATCTGCCACAAACATTTTCTGGGGGCTTTGACATAAGAGATGTAGATAACAGAGATTTGCATCACAAATATTAATATGTGTTGTGAAAGTCATTTATCCTGGTCAGATCATAGTCATTTACTTGAAACTTTATATCATATTTTGAAAATCAATTAAAGTTTAACAAGTTAAAGAGTATCTGTCGGTTTTACCGACAGATGTCTACCCTCAGACAGATATATTTAGATATAGCAAGTTGTAAAGAATCGCTGACTTGCTTCGCAAATTATGACAGACAAAAGTATTTTGACCCTTTGAGCCTTTGTGGGAGAGGTACCAGCAGAAGTGAACCGTTTTATCCCATCTTCACAACACATCTTTTGTTAGTGAAAATAATGGAATGTGTGAGATATAAAGAGAAGCAGATGCTTATTTCGGATTTTATAAACGTTTTGGTTGTTCAAAAATTTGACCGTTTTTGGGGGAGGTACCAGAAGGACTTGATGGAGTGGACCGATATTATTCATTTTTGCACATGACCTAGAACTGACGCAAATATTAGGATTTGCAAAGTTGGAGCAAAATCGGATTTTGAGTGGACCAATGTATTCCATCTTGGCACCAGACCTTGGGTTAATAAAATTATTGCGATGTTTGAAAATTGAAGACAATCAGAATCTTAAATCAAAATTTATTAGAGTTGTAATTATTCAGAATTTTGACTCTTTGTGGGAGAGGTACTTGATGGAGTGAACCGATATTGTAGCACTAATAGAAAAATTACGATTTGCAAAGTTGGAGCTGAATCGGATTATCGTTTCTCTTTCCGTGCAAAAACATTTTTTGGTTAAAAATTTTGACAGAAGGAATGGACCGATATATTCGATCTTATCACCAGACCTTGGGTTCATAAAAATATTGGGATGTGTGAAATTTCAAGACAATCGGACTATTCCATCACGTTTTGTAACAGTTGTGGGGGAGGTTTTTGATGAAGTGGACCGACATTGTCCATTTTCGCACCTGACGCACTAATGAAATTATTAGGATTTGCAAAGTTAGAGCAAAATCGATTCATCTTTTTTCTTTCTGCGCAGAAAATATTTTTTTGAAAATTTCGACATTTTGTGTGAAGGGGTGAGAGGTACCAAGTGGACCGAAAATTTTATTTTCATACCAGGGTTAATATAATTATTGAGATGTGTAAAATTTGAGGACAATCGGACTCTTACATCACATTTTATAACAGTTGTAATTATTAAAAATTTTGACCCTTTGTGGGAGAGGTACCTGGCACGTTGCAATATTTATATCATATTTATATAGAACCTACTCCATAAGGGGTTAAACATTTGAATAATCATAACAGAAGTCAAAATATTTTTAAATAATCGTACATTGGCTGAGGTTATAAATTTGTCGGCTAAACCGACAGATACTGACTCCATAACTTGTAATTTTTTTTTGGAAATTAAGACCTTTTGTGGGGGAGTTTCCAGAAGGAGTGGACCGATATTGCCCATCTCCGAACTCGATTTAAGTCTGATAATAATATGTTTGGACCGAATCGGATACTTCCTTCGAGAGTTATCGTGTGCACCAGCCTGACAGGCGGACGGACGAACGGATAGACGGACATCGCTAGATCGACTCCAAATGTCCTAAACGGATTTGGTCTAAAGAGACCCAGGGTCTAAACCCCTTATTTCGATTAGGCACCCTCTGACCGTATCAAATGATATATACCCTCTGTAGCCATATGGCTGAGGGTAAAAAAAATGGTTTGCGAGGTATAACCACGATGTAACGGAACTTATTTTTTTTATTTTTTTTAATGTTTTTTTTTTTTTGGAAAAAAATCCTTTTTTTAAGTTTTCTCATGTTGGGTCGGGGGTAAAAATATGGCGGCAAGTCGACTGATACTTTTCAACTTTTATATTTTAAAAAATAAATCTTGCTTTTTGAAAGCGTATTTCATTGAAACCGGTTTCGAAATTGTTTACATGTGTAATTTTAAAATATCCATATATTTTGTGAGCAATACACCATATGTATGTGTGTCGAGATTTCTTTGTAACAATTACAATATATGGAAATTCAAAAAAGAAAAAAAAAATACTTTTACTCAAAAAAAAACAAAATTTTTTATAAAATTAGAGCTTTATTATTTTGAAAATTTTGAAAAGATAACAATGATTGGAACATTTTTAAAATGCCAAGATAATACTACAAACTTTCCACGAATGACAGCTCTTTAAAGAAAACAATAAAAATGAAAACAATTATAAAACTACGCTACTAAGGATCTATTCTAGGCTTCTCGCTAACTAAATGCAAAAAATGAATGTGACAAGGCAATCTTTTTCTTCTTCTTCTTCTTTATGGAATGGAATGAGAACTCCTTAAAAACTAACAAAAATGCATGCTGTTGAATTTATCACGATTCTCACGCACCATATTATTGTACTTCCATTTATCCGCCTCCGAGGCATTCTTCGACCAAGCGTTGTTTGTTGACTTGTTGCCGCTGGCACTACCGCTGCTGTAGCTGGGAACGCACGAGCTTTGGTATTTGGAGTTGGCATTGGCAGAAGCCTTTACTCCGGGATTGTCTTGAGAGGAGATGCATTTCTCAGTGCGATTAGTGTAAACCATTTTGCTGTTGTTGTTGTTTGTGTTGGTAAAGAGAGGGGGTTTTTGTAATTCAGGTATTTTTCTTTTCAAAAAAACAAAGTGTTGAGCCGTGGGTTGGTTGTTAACAGTTCAGTCCAGTTGATTTAACGTCGGAATGAAACCAGTTTCATGGAACGTACTTGATATGGGTGAGTACTTTAAGTTCTAGACCATTAGCCGAATTGCCTGTCCGAGAGCCGGGATGGTTTGCGAGATCCTTAGTTAAACTGTAAAAAAATAAAAGAAAACTTCATAAGTCAGGCGGATTTGGATTATTTAGGAAGAATTTAAATTTAATTTGTGGAGAAAGTGACAGGTCATAATCCTTTCTTCTTCTCTCTTTCGTGCTCCAGGTTAGCCAACTCACCGTAGTTTAAGTGACTTCCTTGCTAGGGGTCTAAACATTGACACCAATCGTTTTGAAGTTTAACATATGTGAAATAGAAATCGACAAACAGTTGTGGTCGATTGGTTGACAGGTAATCCAAAAGTAATCCGAAATGTGTTACAGCAGTAATCCGTTTTGGGTTGTTGCGTCAATTAGATATCCTTGGCACTAATGTTGGTTGTTGAGGTTTTTTGATTTGATTTTTAAGACCAAAAGATGTATTAAAATGCTACTGCCGTTGCTGTTGCTGTTGTTTTACAACTTTCTTTGGAGAATTTTGAACCACAACTAATGCTCTCAGTTAACGAGCGCCTGGCTTAAATAGTCGCCAGCGACCAGTGCTTCGGCGCGTAACACTCGTAACATCGTTTCATTCTAATGAGATGCAAAATGCACTCAGCAAACACCTGGGCTGTCTCACTGGCCTGGCGATTGATTCAAACTTTATTAACGTTGCAACCAACATTCCTGCGCTCGTTGCTTTCAGTGCAAATCGAGTACAAATCTCTGCATCTTCTAGTCTGTCGTTTGCTCGCACTTATTTTCTTATGCTGTTTATCGTCATATTGTCATATAACACAATTTATTGTGTCTGTCGGCTTAATAAAGACTGGTTTAGACGCTACACTGGCTGTGTACTGCCGTTAAGCTGAAATATCGACTTGACTACAACCAAATGAAATGGGGTAAACCTGCTACCACTCACGTCCACCTAAAGAAGTAGAAATTAAACAACAGTGAACTGTTTGTGGAACTCTTTACAGTTTATGGTCCATACATACGTATTTGATATTTTTGGAAGAACTATTATTAACTAATTATTTTTTTATTTTTGGAATGAAGTGCATATTTAGTATATATTTATAAAATGTAGTAAACATGTAAAAGTTCACTGAAATTAAACGAAATAACTTTACACGTTCTTCACGTTCTTGGCAAATTATAACAGACTCCAAACATTTATTGCCGTAACTGGATCTCCAATTAGTAAAACTTTGAACTTTTGCCTTCAATTAGCCATCTTCATTTGTTTCGAAAGGCAAGCATTTGCGGTAATAATTTCCAATGATTTGAATCCATTTTTGTTTTTTGGCAATACTTGACAACAAACACAAACTGGATTTCCGAGAAGTTAACAAAAATTAATTATTTTGTTATTGTTTGCAGGGTTTCAGATTGTGTTTAATTAAAGTCATTACACTGCAAAAAAAAAAAACAAACGATCTCATGAGACTATCAGAATTATATAATATCAATGGATTGTGAATTGAATTGCTTAAGGGAGCAACAAATAAAGTGACATTTTATAAAAAAAATATTTTTGTTACCAGAATACGTTCGCACATCTTCTTTATATCTATAAAATAGGAAAATGTTTGTATGTTTGTTTGTAATTTATAGACTCAAAAACTGCTGAGCAGATTATCGTGTATTTGATGGACCAAACACGATATGTATGTGCGATTCTAATGAAATTCGGAAAAAGTGGCGGAATACATAATAATTCATCAAATTATATCGAAATCGGATCATATTTACATTTGGTATAAAAATAAATGTTGTCAAAATATATGGAAAATCGGTGTAGAATTTGATTTTATTTTATTAAGAAACACAGGCCCATCACGACTTTGCAATGGGCATTTGCAATGACAATTAATAAATCCCAAGAACAAACTCTTCGTGTTTGCGGAATAAAATTGGAATGTTCCTGCATTTCTCATTGTCAGCTAAACCTGACATGTTCACGCGTTGGTAGACCGAGCGATTTCTTTAATGAATTCAAACTCGTCTATTTGCCAATATTTAAATAGA